TGAGTGATTTGCAGAGCAGAGCTTAATAAATGCTAGTTGTATTTGTGGTTGGTTTTGTTATTGAAGAAGTTATCAAAGGATTTGGTTTCAATTTTACATTGGTGTTGTGGAAAGACCCCTAAACTTGCCATAAGAGGCTGGGGTTCAAGTCCAGGGGCTGCTGTTTACTGTTTATGTGACTTGGGCAAATTTCCCTACCCCACTGAGGTGTAAGATGGAGGTAGGTTTACTCACTTGACTGGATTTCATTTGGAAGAAATTACTACGTCTGTGAAAGTGCCAGACACACAGGAGGATCCTAATCCTTTTTTATGGGAATAATGTTTTCTATTTTGCAGTTTCTTCATTTTTTGAGGCCAAGAGGAACTGGTTGAATATGGGTAGAGTCCAGGACTCAGCAGAGAGTACTTATGACCCAGGAGCAAAGGGCACAGAGGGGAAGAGAGATCTGAGCTGCAGAAAACCCTTGGGCAGGCAGAGTTTTTATAAGTCACAGGGCGAGTTTCAGGGAAGCTGCCCAAGGGCTTTCACTTCTCTGCGTCCCTGCTTTCAGGGTCCAGGTATGGAAACATTATTTAACAAATAATTAAACAATTATTTAAAACTATAATAATGGGAAACATGGTGAACCTGAAATATTTAATTAGGATCTATTTCTTAGAAAAACAGAACTGGGAGGTGTGTGTGAACGATGCTGGGAGGGTACAACGCCCATTTTCCCGTGGGTTTGACTCTCTTTCTGACAGATGCCTTGATAGTACAGTCTAGAAATGGGTGGTTTGCCAGAGAGAGGCAGCCTGGCGTTGGGGAAGGGTCCGTCTCTGACGGTGGACCGCCTGGGTTCTGAGTTAGCTATCTTAGACAAAGTAGGCAGGGGCACCTAGCAGAGCCCTTGGCAAACAGACAATTAGTAAACCACCCTGTGAGTTATCAGGCGGTATACCATTGAGAACGATTAGGAGCTTTGGAGTCAGAGGGAATGGGATCACTCAACTCTATTACTTAGTAGTTACCTGACAGACTGGAGCATGTTACTTGACCTGTCTAGGACTCATTTTCCTCATCAGTAAAATGGAGGTGATAATAGTACAGTCATGTGTCGCTTAACGACGGGGATACATTCTGAGAAGTGCCTCGGTAGGTGATTTTGTCGTTGTGTGAACATAACAGCATATACTTGCACAAACCTAGATGGTGTAGCCTACTACACACCTAAGCTATATGGTACTAATCTTATGGGACCACCATTGTATGTGTGGTCCATTGTTGACCGAAACATCATTATATGACGCATGACTGATTATCTTCGAGGGCTAGTGTCAGGATTATAAGTGGTAATGTAAGCAGGCTCCTTAGAGCATCAACTACGCAGTAAGTGTGGTGCCTTTTATTATTTCCCTGATGATAGGTTTTAAAGATATTCTCTGAGTCACAAAGACTTATCGAGTTCCTGCTATGTGCCAGGCACTGGGCTGGCCCGGGGGATACAGCTGTCATCTGGGCAGCAGTGGAGTTAACTGATGGTGAAGCTCCATTCTCCATACGAGGTGAGGGCTCTCCTGAAGGGCAGGGCTCTTCTCCATTTAGCGAAGAGATGGGTCCACACACCAGAACTGGGATAAGCCCTGGGTCAGCTACAGGGTGGAAATCTGCCTCTTTGGATTTTATTGGAACTAAATCAGGATGTCTGTGTGGTGGGTGGTAAGATCATATACTCCCTGCAGAGGAAGACATAGAGTCAAAAGTGAGGACCCCAGGCGTGAGGAGCTGGGCCAGCCCCCAGGGGGGATTTCTGTTGTCATTGGGGCTGGCAAGAGTGAAGTCTGGTTGATGGCTGGCCGGGTCTGTGTAAGCCAGAATGTTTGTGTAGAGTCTTCATTTCCTATTTATTTCCTTGTTTCTCCTTGAAGTGTTTAGAATAGTCTTGGAATGTTCTAGCCGAGGGCAGAGAGTTGTTGGTATGCTAAGATCGGTGTTAAGGAGCAGCAGCCCTGGGACCCTTCCCGGTGGAGACATTGGGAAGCTCAGAGAGGGAATCCCCAGTGAGGTAAGATGTGTGTGGTCAGTAGCGGGGAGGTGGAGCCGCTGGATTGGCCAGTCTTCCTCCTCTTTGCAGATAAAGAAATTGAGGATGCTCTGAGCCAGTGTACTGTGCTGTTTTGTCCTTCACTGTGTCCTCAGCTCTTAGCAGGGTGCCTGGGGCCTGGCACAGTCCTCATTTCTTCAAATCTCAGATGTCATTGATTGCAAGATGCATCATTACTTCATATACCACTAAGAAAGAAAGAAAATGCTACCAATTAATTGTAAGATGCCATTGATTGTAAGATTCACTCTGATTTTGGAGAAGCTAAATGAGAAAAAAATGAGTGTCTTAGAATTAATAAAATGTAGTTATAACCTTCCGATAAGTATTTGTTAATTGGATGAATGAAGCAAACAGAGATGAGAATCAAGGCAAAACACTAGTGAATATCAGTACAAACTTAGGAATTTGAGCTATTAAAGCATGAACTTGTTCATCCTTGTTTTCTATTGATTCACTGATTTAGTTGTTTATTCAGAAAACATTTATTGAAAAGCGATTATGTACCAGACCCTGCGCTAGGAGCTGGGGATGCAGAAATCAGGAATTTCCTTTTTTCAGGTTCGGGGCAGTAGAGTAGACAGACACAGAAACAAAAAAATCACAATTCAGGGTGGTAAGTATTAAAAGAAAGTAGGGACATGGTACTCTGGTGGCACCAAGGGATAGAGAAAGGCAAGGAAGTCTTCCCTGAAGAGGGGAATGCTTGAGCTGGATCATAAAATGTCAGTCCGCGGTCCCCAGGCAGACAAGACAGGAAGGAATGGAAGGGAAGAGCGAGTATGAAGGGATGGGCCAGTCCCGTAGCAGTGTGACGCACTCGAGAACCTATGAGGAGTTTCAGGACGTCTGGAGCTTGGTGTGAGAATGGGCAGAACTGCATGGCTGGACCGCAAGTGAGGGAAGCTCAGAGAGGGCCTGGGGTGCGTGCTGAGGGCCTCAGGCAGTGACACAGCCCTGCCTAATGGTTGTCAGCCATCCTGAGTCTTGAGGAAGAGCCCAGCAGAGGGACTGCTGGGGTGGACGGGGGAGGGCAAGGGTGGTCTTGGCTTCAAACAGGGCAGCTCTGCTTGGATCTGTTTTATTTAAATTTTCTTCGAGTAGTGGCTTGAAGAAAAGGCATTGCTGTTGAATGAAGGAATGCATGGTTTGAAAACTGGTGCTACCGGTCATATGGAGCTTCCTCCGGAAGGGTTGTAAGCAAGGGAGAGGAGATGAGAAAGCCCATGGGCTGGAGCCTCAGAGTTGTTCTCGGGAGCTCAGAAGAAGGTAGCAAGTGTTCTTACTGTGGCCTCCCCACTTGCCTCTCACCTGCCAGGGAGCTGGCCCGCCAAAGCAGGACACATAGTTGGGGAATCACTGTGATGAAGTCAGAAGCTGTCACTTTTTTTGTGTGTGTCTGTGAGGAAGATCAGCCCTGAGCTAACATCTGCCAATCCTCCTCTTTTTTGCTGAGGAAGACCGGCCCTGGGCTAACATCTTTGCCCATCTACCTCCACTTTATATGGGATGCCGCCACAGCATGGCCTGACAAGTGGTGCATCAGTGTGCGCCCGGGATCTGGTGAACCCCTGGCCGCTGCAGTGGAGTGCACACACTTAACTGCTTGCACCACCGGGCTGGCCCCAGAAGCTGTCAATTTTAATGGAGCTGTTTTTGACGGGGATAAATATCCAGGAAGCAGTCACCAAACATCTGCTGGCAGACTTCGTTTTAGAATCCCCACGTGTGACTTTGCCAGGGGAACAGTACTTTTTGAGGTGGAAGGGCGCAGAATACTGCTTTGATTGAAATGGACTCTGGATGCTGGGACCGCCCCAGCTCACCTGGGGATTTGTAGTGAGTTCACCAGCCCCATTTTCTGGGGTCTCCTTCTTATTCTTTGAAAGGTCAATCTGGAAAATGAAAGCCTCTGTGAGATTCTGTGTCACGTGGGCTAATCTGACCAGAGGGACTTAAAGCAACAGTGAAGGCCCAGAATTCCTGAGTGTTCTGTGCTCAGTTTTCCTCGTAACTCACAGGGGTCTGTAAGGAAAGCAGGTTATCTGACATGTTACTGATCCTGCCTCCCTCGAGGCTGCTTCCCAGTTTGCAGTCACTTCAGGACATGACTGTGGTGTATCTGCCTCTCCTCCTGACCTGTCCTGCAGGCTGTTAAGAAAGAAAGGAAACAGCATGAGACTTGGCAGCGCAAAGATGGGGGCCTCTGGGTCCAGCCTGAGCGAAGTGGGGTGAATCCCTTAACTTCTCAGAGACCTGTTTCCCCCTCAGTGTACGTGCATCAGTATACTAATGTACATTTACTGTTCATAGGTGTGTGGACCTAGCATTAAAGAAAAGGTTATGTATCTCTTGGAGTCTTAACCTTCATCACCTGTAAAATAGAGATTTAAATATACTCACCTTCTAGAGGCATAGTGAGGAGTAGAGGGAATGTATGACTTTTCACACTGCTTGGCTCAGTAGATAATTTGTTTCATCTATGACTAGGAAGATAGGTTCCTTTTTAGTACCATGGCCGCGTCCTTGTTCTGATTAAACTCAACGCGAGTGAATGCATATCTCTTCCCTCCAGGTTCTCAGTTCTCCTATAATCCTTTTATTTATTCTTCTAGCACTTTTTACCCAATATCATAACTTTGCTCAAATAATTTTGCAGTTCATAAATGATTAACACCTGACTCCCTTCCAAGAATGGAAACTCCACGTCTGAGGCCACGCCTGTCCTATTCACCCGCCACCTAGCTCTGTGCCTGTTAGCTCACTATGAGTGCTAGACGTTTTTGGATGAGTAGGTAATACGTGGCCACCAGTTTATTAGCTGCACCTGCTTTATTTCCACTTTCAAGATGTCTTGTGCCTGACTTTGCAAACTCATTGGCTTTCTCGTGGTTTTTGCCCTTTGTCCCCGCAGGTGAAGGGACCATGATACCTGGTGGAGATCAGGAACCAGGAAGATACTATGTGGGTGTGGACGTTGGAACAGGCAGTGTCCGTGCGGCTCTGGTGGACCAGAGGGGCGTCCTGTTGGCTTTTGCAGCCCAGCCAGTTAACCAGTGGGAGCCTCACTTCAACCACCATGAGCAGTCCTCCGAGGACATCTGGGCCGCGTGCTGTGTTGTGACAAAGGTATGGGCACAACTCTGGTGTTCTCTCCTTGCACACGCTCCCCTGCTCCTACCTGCCGAGTGTGCTGTGTGTCCACCTGGTGCCAGAGACAATGTTGGGCTAACTTTAGACACAGGCCTTGTCCTTCAGGAGCTCGCAGTCTGGTGGCAGAGACCAATAAACAGCTAAAACATGACGTGCTAGGTGCCAGGAGTGAAGTCACTACAGCTGGAGGCAAGGATGGGGCTGATCTGAGGAAGTAAGGGTAGACAGGCAGAGGATGCAGACAGGGTGACTGAATATGGAAGAAGTCACCAATGACCATGGCTCACATCTACTGTGCCTGCACTGGGTGCCCAGAGCTGTGTAAACGTGTCGACATGTCTCATGTAGTTGAATCCTCACAATGGCCCTGTAAAGGTAGTACCGTTACTGCTCCCTTTTATTGAGGAGGAAACACAGGCACAGAAAGGTTATGTGACTTACCTAAGTTCAAGCAGTGGGTAAGTAGCAGAGGCAGGACTGGAACCTAAGCAGACTGATTCCAGTGCTGCACCCTTAGTCACTGGACTGACTTGCCTCCCAAGTGGGAGGAACCTCATTTGGGGCAGAGGGAACAGCATGTGCAAAGGCACAGTGACATGGAAACATGATATGTTTTGAGAAAGCAAGGAAGTCGGGCAAGACTAGAGTGTCTGAATCATGCCAGGCAGATGTTCATCTTGAGGGGCCTTAGATTGGAGTCACTGGCTGGCATGGAGAAGGAAAGGATGTCAGGAAGACTTGTTCATTTTTTAGTTTTGATAGTCTGGGTTTATATCCTGGTGATCAGCAACAACAGAGATGCTTTTGTCCTTTTTTCCAGAAGGAAAAGTCAAGTTCTGGGTTCTTTCTTTTCCCTGTTCCTAGTTTAGTTCCTGAAATATTCATGAAGGGCTTGGTAATTTGCAGATGGACAATTCACCGTTCTGTCCGTATTGATCAGTCTGTTTAAACTTTAATGAGCTCTGGGCTGCTGCTAGTGCCCCTGAGAAGAAGGCAGAGAGAGGAGGTGGGGCATGCAGCTCTGGAGCATTGTATGCGAATAAAAGAGGGGCACGTCTTCTCTTCTGCCTGTTTAGTTTTCCTCCATCCTCCCCTCTCCCAGCCCCCGCCTTGGTGAGAATCTTATACTCGTTGCCCTTGGGTCTCCTTTGTTCTTCTAACATATAGCCTTTCTTGCCATTAAGGAAATTGTCAAGAAGAAAATATAATCCTCTGATGAAAAGCTACTTTAAAAAAGATCTGCTCTAAGTATAGCTTGGTTTAATGGTGGGTTTTTAATCATCTCCCAGTGGTAGCCAGCTCGTCATCTGTGTGAGCCCCCGTAGCCACATAAGCACCGAGGGCATTTGTCCTGCGCGAGGCCCTCTCACTGTCGCAAACCTGGGCAAGCCGCTGGTCTCCTTAGGTGTGCCCCTCACGGAGTGTGGAGATGTGGCCGTGTGCCAGAGCCGTAGGGGAGCATGACACCATGACACTGACTTGGACTGCATTGCTGGTGTGAGGTTTAGGAGGGGAACATTTGTCTATTGGAGAGGTAGCATAAACTCTGGGGCCAGACTGCCTGGATTGGCATCTCAGCTCCAGCATTTATTAGCTCGTCATCTTGGACAAGTTATGTAAGATTTCTCGCCTGAGTTTCCTTATCTGTAAAATGGGAATGATAGTTGTACCTGTCTCCACAGTTGTTGTGAGGATTAAATGAGATAATGCATATAAAATGTCATAACAGTGCCTGGAGATGAGTAAGCACTGTGCTTTCTATGGTGATGATGATGACCACGACGTAATGGAGGTGAGTAGGTTATGGAGGAAAATGAATAAAATACTGAAAAGTCAAAGGCGATTAGGAAGGCACGTCTTGGGAGTATTCACTGACTTGCCTGCTGGTTCAGGCTCTTACTGTGTAAGATTTTGAGAAGCACTGGTCTAGGGCAGAGAGTGACATAAAATACATCCTGACTTGTCTTTTCTTTCTCAAGGACTTCAGGTCATTGGGAGCTCGAGAGCACATTGCCTGAGATGATTTTTCCCTGTTAGTCAAATTAATAATAACATTAATAATTAATGATAATAATAATATGGTGATGATGATAATGGCAGCGAACATTTCTTGGGCACTCATTATGTCCCAGGTACCATGCTGAACACTGTATATCTGTCGTTCATTTTATCTGCACAACAACCTCTTGATGTAGCTTTTATTATTCTCTCTGTTTTGGAACTGGAAGAAATGAGCTTTGAAGAGGTTAAGTAACTGGCCGAAGGTCGCATGCCTAATACGAGGAAGGGTTGGGCTGCTGCCCCGCTCTCCAGCTCATGCGCTGCCCCGCGCCCCGCTCTCCAGCTCATGCGCTGCCCCGCGCCCCGCTCTCCAGC